TCCTCTTGCCTAGTCTGATTTTCTTCATAGCATACAGAGAGTGTAATAAAGAAATTAGAAATTGCATTTAGTAGACCTTTCTTTTGTCTTAATATTAGTACTGTTATTTTGCTACTATCATAGGTTTATTGTAGGATAGAGCAAATAAGTAATATGTCATTCAGAGCTAAACTTTTCAAAGCTAGTAAAATAAATACAGTTATAAAATCATCCTGTTTTCTTCTATTAAAATTTGAAATATAGCTCCAAACTTATGATTTAAATATTTTCTAATAAGTTTTTACATATTTCAACCTCTGTCTTTTGAAAAAGACTTCAAATCTAGAAGAACCCAGTAATGAAGAGCATGCATAGCATGAAAATTCTAGCTTATAAATATCACTTCCCAGTAAAGACACCAGAACTACTCACAGAAATGGCTAATTCCATGTCTGTTGCGAGATAACCTTGAGACAACTGTCCCTGTCAACAAAGAAGCTTTCAGAGTCCAATGGGGCCCTATCAAATAGACACAGGAGCCAATCTGAGGAACCCAAGTGGCCTAAAATGGGATGGTTAATGCACCAAAAGGATTAATGCCTGCAATGGACTGAAACATATCAAATATGCTTTTTCAACTGTGAGTTTATAATTATATAAAACCAAAATAACAAGCAAAACTTCCTTGATTGTGTTTGGAAATTACTGTGGTCCCAAATCAGTATTATAAAGATTTTAAAAGTACAAGAAAGAAGCACTTATTCTGCCTCTCCTGTCTGAATAATATACATACTAGGTTATCTAAAAAGTAAACAGTAAAGATTCCATCTTTATAGATGACTCCCAGTTGATAAATGCAGAGGAGGGATCTTAAATTCAAAATTCCGAATTTGCAACGTCTAAATAAATAGTCAATGTGGGAATTGACCAATGAGTGTTAAAATATTAGACGACAGATTTACTCGGCACTTTTAAATGGAGGGACAAGATGGAACTACAGCTAAACTGCAGATCAGCCTTAACATCACTAAACTGGACAGCTAGTATTATATGCCTCACAATTTCATGCAATATAAGCCACACAGGACCAGCTGGGACATAATTTTTCCTGAAACAATGGAATAAATTTGATTTGCCCATAGAACTAGTACACAGGAAAAACTGGGCTTAGAAGTTGTGTGACACCAACAGGAAACAATGAACCAAATCCAGAGTGCAGATATACTAGAGAAGAAAAACAATTTGTCCACAGATGAATGGCATTCAAAAGGGATCTATTACAGTATGAAAGAATCTTAAGAGACCCAAGAATCTAGTTAGGATGTTGCTTCAAGTAAACCAGCATAAAAAGACATCTTTGAAACAATCAGAAAAGTGTGAACATAAATGGACATTCAGCTTCATTATGAAGCAACTGTTGCTATTGATATAAAACAGTTATATAGTGAGATTAAAAAGTCATCCTTTCTTAAGCATGTATGTAGATATTAAGTGAAGTGACTTAATGTCTTAATTTTCTTGAAGATACATCAACAAAAAAGTAGAAGATTTCAATAGAAGTAGGGGAATTAGATGAGACAATACTGAGAAATATGGATCAGTATTTAATCTGGGAGATTGGTGCATGGCTGTTTACATACTATTCTCTCTCATTGTATCCACTGGACTTTCAACGATACAAACTTTGATTAAGTAGTAAAGGAGGTTGTTCCACTGAGAAGAGCACTAATATATTTGGGAATGAAATTTCTGATGATGGTAAATCTGATGTATTGTAGACCACTTTCAGGTGACCCCATCAGGTTCAGGAGGGGGGCCCTGAGCAATGATGTCTTCATTGAACCCAATAGTTTCCATGTAGTGCGAGAAAAGAAAGGCAATATTTCTAGCATCAATTATTTCTTAATATTTTAAATGCTATGTGTTTTAAATATAAATATAAGAATGAAAGACTTCTTAACATAACCAAATGGAGGAAACAAGAATATCTCCTTCTTAGAAATTGCCTTAAACCAAACTGGGAGAACAAGAACCAAAAAAGTAATCTCCACCCTCAACCACCAAAAGGAAAACATCTTAAATTCCTTCAATTAAAAAAAAAAAAGAAAGAAAGAACAGAAAACTCTTCCCACAAAAAGGGAAAAATAAATCACACATGTTGGGAAAACTCAGAAGATGCCCTCAATGTACATCTCAGAAAATCCAGTGAAGAACACTCTCAAAAACAGACGGATCAAAATTAAACAACGTGGGAAACACAGAAGAAGAGCACACAAAGCTAACCCTGAGGTCTTCCTGTTACCAGGCACCTCTGACTCATTCAACTCCTGCTGTGTGAATGTGAAGAACACATCCTCAGGTGTATATCTAAGAATCAAAGAATCGATCTTTGCAACAGTCAGAAGTGGGTGTGTGGGCTATAGGCAGGGCCTATTTGCCCTGAAGTTTCAAGACACAGGGAAGGCAGGGTTGAGTAAGGAATCAGAGGCAATGCCTATTGGCAGCTTGTTGTTGGAGAAGCAAAGAAAACCGAGGCTGAACTGTGAGCCGCTCTGCAGACAACTTCCTTGGCTTGGATGAATTAAAATTAAAAGAACTATTTACACAACCTGTATCCTACTGAGAATTCCAGTTATTCTGGTTGTGGCCTCTCCTCCCAGAAGACTGTAAAGGCAGGTCCAAAAGGATCTCAAATCATTCAGAGATGAGCTCTTGTTAGGAAGGAACCATTCCAAGTCCCACGAAGGACACTTTACATTAAAGCAAACAGATAACCAAGCAAACAACAACAACAACAACAACAACAACAAAACACAAGGAAAAGGAAAAGCAAGAGGCACTTAGAAAGCATTCAACAGAAAAAAGTCAGAATAAAGTATTTCCTAAAAGGTGGTAAAATGAACACCATGATGAAATAAGAAAGCCAAGGGGCAATAGTGTGAGAAATAAATGATTAAATATTAGCAGGTAGAACTCAGACAAGCAGCAGAGAAAAACAGATAAAGTCACAAGAGAAATGAAGGCCAAACTAAAAACAACATAAAACCTTGCTGATGCACAACAATGCACAGGTTTAAGGTGAAGAAAACAACCCATAGGAAATAGCACTTGAGACTGCTACATTAAAATTGAGAAAAAACAGAGATATGGGAGAAAAAGTACATACACTATAAGCATAATTGCAAAGGAGAATATATATGTGTTTCATATATATGTATATATTCAAAATATATTCTCACATGCATCACACGTGCTGTGCTAAGTCGCTTTAGTCATGTCCGACAGTTTGCGACCCCAGTGACTGTAGCCCCCCAGGTTCCTCTGTCCATGGAGCTCTCCAGGCAAGAATACTGGAGTGGATTGCCAAGCCCTTCTCCAGGGAATCTTCCAGACCCAGAGTTCGTACTAGCGTCTCCTGCAGCTCCTGCATCGTAAGCAGATTCTTTACCCCTGAGCCACTGGGAAGCCATATGCATCACACATGCCCCAGGAGAAGCACAGAAACATTCAAATGAGGTCACTACAAGGATACACAGGGAAGTAGCCAACACTTCATGGTCTTCCTAAACAGGACTGGGCAATGGCCTTCAGCATGTAATTTTTCCCTCAGCCATGTATTACTTATTAAATACTTTAAATAAATAAGTAGATGTGTTAATATCTATATTCTGCATATAAATAGGCATTCTATGACATTTATATCTGTAATGTTTAAAGTAATCACTTATTAAGCTTCTACTTTGAATTGTCACTTCACAGGATACAAGAAGGACACAATACCACCTTAAACAAGATGATATGATTATGCAGGTTAAACACTCCAAGATTGGACAACTGCAGAAAACAAATAAGCTATATTTTTTCTCACAAATAAACAGCAAGTGGAAAGTGGAGGCAGATTTAATGACCTGCAATATTATAAAGACATAATACGTTAAAGACATATAACCCAAACACAAAATGAACGGAATTTACTAGGATCCTGATTTGGGAAAACAAAAAATAAAATATAAATAATACACAGATTTATTTCAAGGTTGAATAGATACTCCTTGATGTTAATAAACATCTAGTATTTAAGGATATATAAATGTTATATGGTTAGTAATTTTAGAGAGCAACTCATTTAAATTTAAATATTGAATTGTATTCTAAAATATAACAAGATATCTGGAAATTGCTTTCCAATATATTAGGGTTAATGAGGAATTGCATGGTAGCATAGAAGAAATAAGGCTGACCATGAGAAATTAATTTTTATAAAATCCAGCAATAGGTATACAGAGACCCATTTATATTGCAAATCTACATACCTACCTGTGGGAAATTTTTAGGGAAAGCAAAAAAGGTCGTGTTTAACTTCTGTAATTAATGACAAACACTGATAATTACAGTTATAGGAAAAGCAATAGGCTATTTTGATCTCCAGGATCTCTGGCTGGTGGGTGAAACACCAGGGCAGACGAGCCTCAGTACATTTCACACATGAGCATAACGTGGAGAACCTTTGTGTGAGTTGCTGACTAACTCCCAGCTCAGTTGGGTTGAGACTAGTCTTACTGTTCTCAGAGCTGTCAAAGCTGGAAGGCAGGAGAAATTTTCCCTGACTAAAGGAAACCAAAAATGCAATCTTCATATTTCATAACTTTTCTAATAAACCAGATGTGATCTCACTCTTTGTGAAGCCTGGCCCTTCCCAACCTGCAGGCTCACCTTCCAGGACTGAGCCCAGCCCAGTTTCTCCATATATAAGCTGCTGCCGGGAAGCTCCTCTTACAGACCTGCTCCTCTCAGCCCTCCACTCCACCCCTCGCTCCTGCCTCAGTCTCTTCTTCTTCAGGAACCATGTCTTACAAATCCACCGTGAAGACCCAAAGCAGCAGCCGCAGGGGCTTCAGTGCCGGCTCAGCCAGAGTCCCTGGGGTCTGCCGCTCTGGCTTCAGCAGCGTGTCCCTGTCCCGCTCCAGGGGCAGTGGCGGCCTCGCTGGAGTGTGTGGAGGAGCTGGCTTTGGCAGCCGCAGCCTCTATGGCCTGGGGGGCTCCAAGAGGATCTCCATCGCAGGGGGCAGCTGTGCCATCGGTGGCGGATATGGCGGCAGAATTGGAGTTGGCTATGGCTTTGGAGGTGGAGCCGGGAGTGGATTTGGTTTCGGTGCTGGGGCTGGTAGTGGCTTTGGGCTTGGTGGTGGAGCTGGCCTTGGAGGTGGCTTCGGTGGTGCTGGCTTCCCTGTGTGCCCCCCTGGAGGCATCCAAGAGGTGACCGTCAACCAGAGTCTCCTGACTCCCCTCAACCTGCAAATCGACCCCACCATCCAGCGGGTGAGGACTGAGGAGCGGGAGCAGATCAAGACCCTCAACAACAAGTTTGCCTCCTTCATCGACAAGGTGAGCTGAGAGCATCTGCCCCCAGTGGGGATTGCAGAGTGCCCAAGAGAGCCAACTAATGTCCTATCGGGGCGGGAAGACTCGGGGGAGAGGGAGGTGGGACTTAGGCGAGCTCTCCACTGGGATGCACGACAGGCTTCATGTGGACCCCAGGCAGAAGGTGATGGAAATCATTTACAATTAGCCATCCCTCACTTGACCCCATTCCTGCCAAGGAAACATTCACAGTTCTTGATAATCCTGAATGAAAGAACATGAAATGAGAGAGTGCAATGAGATGGCTTGATCTTCTGAATGGTCTAAGAAACTTAAAAGGGTATTGTAGTGGAAACTGCATTTGAGTCATAGATGGATGCTGCAGGGAGGAAAAAAAGCAAATAGCAAAAGGGAATTTGATGAAACACAGCTCAAGTATATATCCATAGAAATACTCACCTATAGAACCAGAAAATGAGCCTTAAGGGCCTTTGTATCAGCTGTATTCATGCACTATATGGGAAACAAGGTTAAATCCAATCATTAATAGAATTGGAAACTAATCATTAGATTATAAATATCTGATATCCCTAAATTGAGGCATGTGTTTTGTAAAAGCTCTGTGCAATATGAGCAAATGCTATGATGAAGTACATTTGTACTTGCCCATGTCAAGAGGAAGACAGGAAGGGTTGAAAGTCCCTGACAATTTCCATAGTGAGAGGGAGGGAATATCTGACAGCTCCTGGAGAAACTTGGCAATGAGACCTGTGTGGTATGAAGCTAAAGAATCAGGGGAGCAGAACTGTCAGCCCCGTACAGGCTCTGGAGCAACCCAATACCACCGGGATCACCAGATCAGCCTGGGGACTTGTCAACTCACAGATAACCATCTTGTCTTCCTGCAGGTCCGATTCCTGGAGCAACAGAACAAGGTCCTGGACACCAAGTGGACCCTGCTGCAGGAGCAGGGCACCAGGACCGTGAGGCAGAACCTGGAGCCTTTGTTCGAGCAGTACATCAACAACCTCAGGAGGCAGCTGGATAGTATCCTTGGGGAGAGAGGCCGCCTGGACTCGGAGCTCAGGGGGATGCAGGACACGGTGGAGGACTTCAAGAACAAGTGAGTTACAGGAGAGAAAACACCTTAGATTCCTGAAGCCCACACTGCAGTCTATTAGATGACCAGGTCCAATGAGGGCTGATTCTTAGTAAAACATGTCAGTAGACATGACATTACAATTGTTACTAAACACAAACCCTGAAGAACAAAAGGGGCCATAAAAGTTGAATGGGAAGAGTAATGGAGTAAAGAAATTAGAAACCACAAATTACAACCTTTAGGCTTATTGACAGGTCTCATTTGTATATATCCATTCTGGGGAGCAGAGATCCCAGGCTGCCTTTTCTGTATCATCTTCACTGCTGACTCAATTAGATTTTATTCCTTTTAATTCCAGATATGAAGATGAAATCAACAAGCGCACAGCAGCAGAGAATGAGTTTGTGAAACTGAAGAAGGTAAGATGGGTCAGATCAGGGTTTCATGCTCCTTTCCTGAAGGAGAGGATTCTGAGAAAAGAATCATCAAGGAGACTAAAACAGGAGCAGGCTGGGCAGGAGGGCTCATCTGATCCCAGCCTGTTGGCTTCTTCCCCAGGATGTGGATATTGCCTACATGAACAAGGTTGAACTACAAGCCAAGGTAGACGCTCTCACAGATGAGATCAACTTCCTAAGAACCTTCTATGAGGCTGTAAGTATCTCTCCACATTCTGTTTTATTGCCTTTAAAGAGATTTGTGAAGAGTGGAATATCTTTGGTCTAGGTACCTCTCTAAAAATCAGGACCAAAGATGATCGGATGATCTCTTGTTCTGCAGGAACTGGCTCAGATGCAAACCCACATCTCAGACACTTCTGTGATCCTCTCCATGGACAACAACCGCAACCTGGACCTGGACAGCATCATCGCTGAAGTCAAAGCCCAGTATGAGGAGATCGCTCAGAGGAGCCGGGCTGAGGCTGAATCCTGGTACCAGTCCAAGGTGAGTGGTGAGGCGGCAGGTGATGAAGAATCCCTGAGCCTCCTCTGAGAACATCAATGTGGCTATAGACTTCAGTGGGGAAATTACAACTAAGAAGTGGGGGGGCTTCAGGGTAGATCTTTTGGGTAATTGTGTCCAAGTCTCGTAGGTCATAGAACCCAAGTTAGGAGGAAAGCTAATGTAGATCAAGGTGAGTGACCTTTGTTTTAGCTTTATTTCAATGTTGACTCTCAGCAACAGTACAGAACATTGCTTTTCCTGAAGAGAACCAGTCAGTCAGTGGTCCTACCAAGTATGGTGTGTGATGGGTGTAGAGTGTCAATGACCTAGTAACACCAGTTTTCTTTAAATGTCTTGTGGAAAACCAGTAGATTCCTTTTTGAAAGCCTAGATTAGTGTCTCTGAAGCTTATGAGCATCACTTTGTCTCCCTCTGGTTTATAGTATGAGGAGCTGCGGGTGACAGCAGGCAGACACGGGGATGACCTGCGCAATACCAAGCAGGAGATCACTGAGATCAACCGCGTGATCCAGAGGCTGAGATCTGAGATCGACCATGTCAAGAAGCAGGTACATTGGGGACCATGGAAGAGAAAAGCATCCTTTTCTTCCTAGAACATCAGGTATCATCAACCATTATGTGGGAAATTTCTGGGAACTGAGGGAAAAGCAGGGAGAGAAGGACATGTATTTCCTCCCTGGGAGAGTTTCCCCAGGTTTGAGAGATGGAGCCCAACTCAAGAGCAGGAAACAAACTCAGGATAGGCCGAATCTTTACTGGTCACTGGGACAAAGATACAGTCTAGAGGCATAGAAATGAGATTCCACAAGGGGAGTGATTGAGTTGAGAATTCAAGATGCAAGTTGACAAAGAAAAGTTTAGGACAGATAGTATGGAGAAGAATACTGCAAATATGCTCAGATTCATTGTAAAAAGAATCCGAGAAGAGACACAGGAAAAATGAGGGTTGTCCAAAACTGTGAAGAGGAAGGAAGGCAAAGTCTCAACAGTTTAAGATGAAATTATCTCCTTACTGAGGATGTTTGTGGCTTTGTATAAGTTATTATATATCCACATGAAGTTACCCAAACTGTCAACATTCAACACAAGTCAGTGGGTCCATTTCTTCCCTTGTCCCCTGGTCTTTGGTCTGCTGTGGTATCTTCTAGCCCCATCATCATTTGGGTGGTTAACACAGAAGGGAATAGAATTTCTTAAGGTCCTGCTAGAATAGTTAAGGTTTGCAGCACTGAGAAAAACTGGACAAAATGAATCAAACATTCTTTTCCATGAGATCTGGGCTCTAGAGCTCTTCCTCACTGGGAAAGTAGAACGATGCTTCCTCTCCCCTGGAGCCCAGACTCAGGTTCATCTGCCCCTCCTCCCCTCCAGTGCACCAGCCTGCAATCCGCCATCGCCGACGCTGAGCAGCGCGGGGAGCTGGCCCTCAAGGACGCCAGGGGCAAGCTGACTGACCTGGAGGACGCCCTGCAGAAGGCCAAGCAGGACATGGCCCGGCTGCTGAAGGAGTACCAGGAGCTCATGAATGTCAAGCTGGCCCTGGACGTGGAGATTGCCACCTATAGGAAGCTGCTGGAGGGCGAGGAGTGCAGGTGAGCAACTCACACAACCTCCTCAATCATCTGGCTCCATCTCCAAGGAGTCCTGCCAATGCGCCCACGTGGAAGGCACTCTAGTGCTGGTCACAGTGCCACTCCCAGAAGAGCCCTGAGAAGGCAGGCTCCTGGGGAGTCTCCTCTCACGGAGGTTTCCCGTGCGGGCCCAGCTGTGGCTCTGGGCCTCATCATGGCTGTGTCTTCTCTCTCCTAGGCTGAGTGGGGAAGGCGTTGGACAAGTCAACATCTGTAAGTACTTCACCTGCCCCCGGCCCTTGCCCTTGCGTCCCCCTGACTGGACTCTGTGTGGCAGAGTGAGCTCCCCATCTTGTCCTGACCTCGCCCCCTTGCCTCCACAGCCGTGGTGCAGTCCACCGTCTCTGGTGGCTATGGCGGTGCCGGCGGCTATGGCGGTGCCAGCGGTCTCGGCGGTGGCTTAGGCGTGGGAGGAGGAAGTGGCTACTCCTACAGCGGTGGCCACAGCCTTGGAGGTGGCTTCAGTGCTGGCAGTGGCAGAGCCATCGGGTGTGGCTTCGGCTCCTCTGGGGGCAGCAGTTCCACCATCAAATACACCACCACCTCCTCCTCCTCCAGCAGGAAGAGCTACAAGCACTGAAGTCCTGTCATGGGCTCAAGCTCCCACAATGTCTCAGCCTCCCTCTCCAGCTTCATCACCCTCTCTTCTAGTTGCTTCCTCACTTCTGCTCCCTTCATCTCTTACTTTGAGTTAGAACTGAAGTTACTGAGTGCCTTTGTCTCCCTCTGCCAATACCTGCTCTAACTGACTTCCATTGTTCACCATCAGAAATTCACACTCGGGTTCTAGTCCAGACATGGACTTTGCTTTCCACTGGCCCAGGAAGTCCCGTCTCAGAAGTGTTGTGTTCCTCCATTTCAGTGATTGTGAAAGCAGAAGTGACTGGTTCTTTGATGTACAGGGTCTGTATCTCTGTGTGCTTCATCTGCTCTTTGCTCACTTGTATTGCTAAATAAAGCAGATTTATCACATACTGTGTGCTTTCACATAGCTTTTCTTTGTCTCCAATGGATCTCGAGGTTTTCATCTGATAAATGCCTTCTCAGGAATGAAGCATACTCCCAGTCCCTATGTGCTTCACTCTCCTCGTTTAGAGAACTTCAACAGACAGCACTTTAACATCCTGATGCCAGCAGTCCTCCCAGAACAGCTTGGCATGTGGAGTGGGAGGGATCTGGGTCTATCATAGTGAAGTCTGGTTTTACTGCTCAGATTAGTTTCAGCAATTTAGTTTCTCTGACTTGTCTCTATGATTCTACCTCCGTCTGCCGCAGTAGTCATCCATCATTCTCAGAGAATCATATTACAGTCTAATTAGATCAGAAGAATATTGACTAGAGTGTAAGATGTCTGATTTATATTTTAAAATGCCTTATGACCACAAAAGTGTGCCTAACAACATGTATCAGGTGCAATTTAAAAGTACACACTTCGAAACTGAAAGTATGCTTCTAGTAGTGTATCCTGAGGAAACAGTACAAATGTAAGAACTTGTACTTCTGGGATATGAGTCCCAATAAAGTTTCACCTGGGAAATAATGGAAACACTGGTTAATTTCAGGATCTACAGACTCAGAAACAAAATGCAGCTGCTGATTTTTTTTAAGTAGGGAGACAAAATAGAAATGGGAAGGCATTTTTCCTCACCTCAAAATCCTCTCACAGAGACTCAAAGAGGTCGAATTTTTGCCAGTCCGAAGACATGGCCTTGCGTTCTCTCTCAGCTGTGTCTTGGCTTCCTTTGACTTTCTGAATGGGTAAGAAAATCTCATGATACAATGCCAGGTTGGTCTGAGGGTCAGGCAATGTTCCTGAGATCCAGTAATTGTTTCCAGTCTATTTTGTCCACGGCCCTAATCTCAGATGATTTCTCTGGAGAATCCACCTAACACCATGCAAGTTCTCTTCTGAAGAATCGAGAAGACATGTCTGATTCTGTGAATGGGGAGGAGTATATGTGAAGGTGATTCTGGAGCATCTTTCAGTGGCAAAAAGTGAAGAAATAGTCACAGAAGACACTGAAAGAGCTATTAGTGGACAAACTGAAACTTCTTGAGCCATAAATAAATAGATAAATAATATTTGGATTAAAGCCCAATTATGAAATAATTATTCATGGTATCTACCAATGTGCATGAGTGATTGATTAAATTAATTCATGAAGGATAATTGAAGAGTCTCAGGCAAAAGGATTTCTTTTAGTTACCTACATGGTCCCCATGTGAACGAGTGAATAAGTACTCCCTGCTAAGGGATGTGGGATGTGGGATGTGCACAATGACTTCCTTCCCAAGAGTACAGTCTAAAATAGGGGTGAAAGAGTGACTTTACTGAAGAGAAATCAATCAAACACTTCCTCAGCCAGATGATCAAGGCTAAAATTAAAGTGATAAGTTATTTTCATAGCATGTACCCTAAGATGATGTGTTAAAAAGTGTAGATCACCTTTATGTTCTTCCTCCAAAACACCACAACTCCAGTCTATTCATAAGACAACATCAGAAAAAGCACAATGTTGGACATCGACAAAACAGACAGGCAGAGTTCCTCAAAACTTTCTAAGTCACGAAGACAAGGAAAATCTGACAAACTGTGTTAAACCAAGAAAGGTCTAAGGAGACACAATGACTAAATGAAACATAGTTATTATGGAAAACATTTAAGGCAAGAGGTTCAAAGTATCATCTGTATTTTTTACTAATTTTCATACAAAATTATAAAACAAGCAAGGTAAAGAAAGAGACAGAGTCACAAAGAAATAGAAAGACAGTTGGAGGGACAGAAATACAGAGAAATCATTGAATGGCTAATGATAAAACAATAATATTGACAATCTCATGTTGGTTTTAACTACAGTAAACTGTATTTTTTTAATCTGTGCACTTCCTAAATCTTTTGATGTTGAACCTTGTTATTTCAAAAGAGAAAGTATGTTCCCCATGATATCTTCATTGTATGATATCTGAAATTAAATGTGGTTACAATTTTGGTATTAAGGAAGAAAAATTTCAATCTCTTGATTAATGTACATGACATTAAAATTTTCAGATTGATTTCTTTTGTTCTATGAGGGCTGAATAGGAATAAACATTTTTTTTCTATTGAAACAGTAAAGTCTTGCTTTTGAAGCAAGGAAGGACTCAGAAGTACCAAAGGTTGTTAGATACTGGATTTGGCTCCTAAAGTTAATTGCTTCCTCCAGGATGGAGTCTAGGTACTTGGAAAATACAGAAAATACATCTTTTTCATAACGATCTCAAATAGAAGAAGTTTTTCTGCTTAGAAGCCATATCCAAAGTTCACCTTACCTGAATCTTCTGTGATCCAGGATAATCACTTGTGAGCCCTACAAGGTAGATTCTAGCTATGTTGGCTAGAATCCCCAGCACAGACTAATGAATGACATCACAGTTCATGGGGGCACAGGGTGCAGCACAAGCAGAAGAGGGAACATTTCCAAAGGTCCTGAGAGCAGATTGCTCTCCTCTGCCTGCTGCATGCCCCAGGAGGCATTCCCTACATACTCCCTGCTAACTAATTCCTCATCATACTTGTCCTTGAAAGAGATGGGAATACCAGACCACCTGATCTGCCTCTTGAGAAACCTGTATGCAGGTCAGGAAGCAACAGCTGAAACTGGACATGGAACAGCAGACTGGTTCCAAATAGGAAAAGGAGTACGTCAAGGCTGTACATCATCACCCTGCTTATTTAACTTATATGCAGAGTACATCATGAGAAACATTAGGCTGGAGGAAACACAAGCTGGAATCAAGATTGCCAGAAGAAATAGCAATATCCTCAGATATGCAGATGACACCACCCTTATGGCAGAAAGTGAAGAAGAACTAAAGACCCTCTAAATGAAAGTGAAAGAAGAGAGTGAAAAAGTTAGCTTAAAGCTCAGCATTCAGAAAACTAAGATCATGGTATCTGGTCTCATCACTTCATGGCAAATAGATGGGGAAACAGTTGAAACAGTCGCTGACTTTATTTTTCTGGGCTCTAAAATTACTGCAGATGGTGACTTCAGCCATGAAATTAAAAGACGCTTTCTTCTTGGAAGGAAAGTTATGACCAACCTAGATAGCATATTAAAAAGCAGAGACATTACTTTGCCAACAAAGGTCAGTCTAGTCAAGGCTATGGTTTTTCCAGTAGTCATGTATGGATGTGAGAGTTGGACTATAAAGAAAGCTGAGCGCAGAAGAATTGATGCATTTGAACTGTGGTGTTGGAGAAGACTCTTCAGAGTCCCTTGGATTGCAAGGAGATCCAACCAGTCCATCCTAAAGGATATCAGTCCTGGGTGTTCATTGGAAGGACTGATGTGGAAGCTGAAACTCCAATACTTTGGCCACCTGAGGTGGAGAGCTGACTCATTTGAAAAGACCCTGATGCGGGGAAAGATTGAGGGCAGGAGGAGAAGGGGATGACAGAGGATGAGATGGTTGGATGGCATCACCAACACAATGGACATGGGTTTGGGTGGACTCCGGGAGTTGGTGATGGACAAGGAGGCCTGGCGTGCTGCGGTTCATGGGGTCGCAGAGTCGGACATGATTGAGCGACTGAACTGAACTGAACTGAGACCTCAGGATGGGAGGAAAAAGGTGTTGAGGAGTCCATCTTTGAGAGCAACTGGATATCTTGGACCATGACTTTCTCTAGGCAATCTCTTCTCTTCAAGGCTATCAACTTGAAGACTCCAGGGATGTCCCTTCAACAGTAGAAAGGGAGTAGGGGTGGGAAATCATCCTCTTTAGTCTTAGAGGCAGGTTCACTCAAATGTGCCATTTTCTCCCATGCTCTTATTGTCCCCAGTCTTCTCATTCAACTGTAGCAGCCCCTTCTTGAAGCGTACTGCCATCCATATCTGTGCTCCCTCACTTAAGAAACTTTTCTCCAACCAACGTAATAATGGAAGATCTTTTTTTTTCCTGCTTCTGTTTACAACCACAAGGTTAGAGTTAATCTGGATTCTCATATTGTTGTGAAAGTTAAAGTCATTCAGCTGTGTCCAACTCTTTGTGACTCCATGGACTGTATAGTCCAGTCCAGAATACTGGAGTGGGTAGCCTTTCCCTTCTCCGGGGGAATCTTCCCAGGTCTCCTGCATTGCAGGCAGATTCTTTACCAGCTGAGCTACAAGGGAAGCCCAAGAACACTGGAGTGGGTACCCTATCCCTTCTCCAGTGGATCTTCCTGACCCAGGCAACAAACCAGGTCTCCTGCATTACAAGTTGATTCTTTACCAATTGAGCTATCTGGTAAGCCCAGATGCCAGGTTTGTTGTAGAACAGAGCAAATAAGGAATATGCCATTCAGAGCTAAGCTTTTCAGATATAGTTTAAAAAAAAAACAGTTATAAAATCATCCTATATCCTCCCATTTGAATTTGAAATATATCTATAAACTTCTGATTTAAATATTTTCTAAATTGTTTTTACATATTTCTAGATCTGTATTTTTAAAAGACGTCAAACCTAGAAGAACCCAGTAACAATGAACATCCCTAGTATACAAATTCTAGCTTTTAAATACCATTTCCCAATAAAAGACACCTCAGCTACTCACAGAAATGACTGATTCCATGTCTGCTGCAAGATCAGTACAAGGTAACCTGAGACTTCTCATCGATGTAACAAAGAAGCTTTCAAAACCCACTGGGACCCTGTGAAAAGGACACAGAAGAAAATCTGAAGAACTCAAGTGGTGTAAAATGGGACAGTTTAAGTACCTAAAAGTTTTAATGCCTGCAGTGCACAGAAATATATTGAGTATATTTTTTGAACTGTGTATTTATAATCATACAAAACCAAAATTACAAACAAAACTTCCTCAATTATATTTGGAAATTATGGTGGTCCCAATTCACTGTTATGAAAATTACAAAATTATAAGAAAGAAGCAATTATTCTGCCTTTACTGTCTGAATAAAATACATATTACTATACAAAAAGTACACAATAAAGATTTCTTCTTTATAGATGACTCCCAATTGATAAATGAGGAGGAGAGATGTTCAATTCAAAATTACAAATTTGCAATCTCTAATGAATAATCATTGTGGGACTTGACCAGTGAATGGTAAAATATTAGATGACAAATTTATTCAGCACTTTTTAATGGAGGGATAAGGCTGGAACTACAGCTATACTACAGATCAGTCTTCACATCACTAAACTGGACAGCTAGCATTATGTGCCTCACAAGCTGAGGCAATATGGGCACACAGGACCAACTGAGACATAACCTTACCTGAAATAACAGGAAAAGTCTAATTAACTCACGTAACTACTATATAAGAAAACTAGGGTTAAAAGTTATGTGGCACCAATAGGAAACAATGAACCAAATCAAGTGTAGACATACCAGAGAAAAAACCAATTTGTCCACAAATCAGCGGTATTAAAAAGGGATCTATTACAGTATGAAAGAATCTTAAGAGACCCAAGAATCTAGTTAGGATGTTGCTTCTAGTAAGCCAGCATAAAAAGACATCTTTGAAATAATCAGAGAAGTGTGAACATAAATGGACATTCGGTTTCATCAAGAAGCAACTGTTGCTACAGATACAAAACTGTTATACAGTTAGATTAAAAAGTCATCCTTTCTTAGGCATGCGTGCAAATACTGACAATTGAAATGACTTAATGTCTTAATTTTCTTGAAGATAAAAAAGTAGATCAAAAAAGTAGATTTCAATAGGAGAAGCAGGGGAATTAGATGAGACAATACTGAGAAATATGGGTAAGTGTTTAATCTGGGAGATTGGTACATGGCTGTTTACATACCATTGTATCCACTGGACTTCCGATGATACAAACTTTGATTAAGTAGTAAAGGAGGTTGTTCCACTGAGAAGAGCACTAATATATTTGGGAATGAAATTTCTGATGATGGTAAATCTGATGTATTGTAGACCACTTTCAGGTGACCCCATCAGGTTCAGGAGGGGGGGCCTGAGCAATGATGTCTTCATTGAACCCAATAGTTTCCACGTAGTGCAAGAAAAGAAAGGCAATATTTCTAGCATCAATTATTTCTTAATATTTTAAATGCTATGTGTTTTAAATATAAATATAAGAATGAAAGACTTCTTAACATAACCAAATGGAGGAAACAAGAATATCTCCTTCTTAGAAATTGCCTTAAACCAAACTGGGGGAACAAGAACCAAAAAAGTAATCTCCACCCTCAACCACCAAAAGGAAAACATCTTAAATTCCTTCAATTAAAAAAAAAAAAGAAAGAAAGAACAGAAAACTCTTCCCACAAAAAGGGAAAAATAAATCACACATGTTGGGAAAACTCAGAAGATGCCCTCAATGTACATCTCAGAAAATCCAGTGAAGAACACTCTCAAAAACAGACGGATCAAAATTAAACAACGTGGGAAACACAGAAGAAGAGCACACAAAGCTAACCCTGAGGTCTTCCTGTTACCAGGCACCTCTGACTCATTCAACTCCTGCTGTGTGAATGTGAAGAACACATCCTCAGGTGTATATCTAAGAATCAAAGAATCGATCTTTGCAACAGTCAGAAGTGGGTGTGTGGGCTATAGGCAGGGCCTATTTGCCCTGAAGTTTCAAGACACAGGGAAGGCAGGGTTGAGTAAGGAATCAGAGGCAATGCCTATTGGCAGCTTGTTGTTGGAGAAGCAAAGAAAACCGAGGCTGAACTGTGAGCCGCTCTGCAGACAACTTCCTTGGCTTGGATGAATTAAAATTAAAAGAACTATTTACACAACCTGTATCCTACTGAGAATTCCAGTTATTCTGGTTGTGGCCTCTCCTCCCAGAAGACTGTAAAGGCAGGTCCAAAAGGATCTCAAATCATTCAGAGATGAGCTCTTGTTAGGAAGGAACCATTCCAAGTCCCACGAAGGACACTTTACATTAAAGCAAACAGATAACCAAGCAAACAACAACAACAACAACAACAACAAAAAAACACAAGGAAAAGGAAAAGCAAGAGGCACTTAGAAAGCATTCAACAGAAAAAAGTCAGAATAAAGTATTTCCTAAAAGGTGGTAAAATGAACACCATGATGAAATAAGAAAGCCAAGGGGCAATAGTGTGAGAAATAAATGATTAAATATTAGCAGGTAGAACTCAGACAAGCAGCAGAGAAAAACAGATAAAGTCACAAGAGAAATGAAGGCCAAACTAAAAACAACATAAAACCTTGCTGATGCACAACAATGCACAGGTTTAAGGTGAAGAAAACAACCCATAGGAAATAGCACTTGAGACTGCTACATTAAAATTGAGAAAAAACAGAGATATGGGAGAAAAAGTACATACACTATAAGCATAATTGCAAAGGAGAATATATATGTGTTTCATATATATGTATATATTCAAAATATATTCTCACATGCATCACACGTGCTGTGCTAAGTCGCTTTAGTCATGTCCGACAGTTTGCGACCCCAGTGACTGTAGCCCCCCAGGTTCCTCTGTCCATGGAGCTCTCCAGGCAAGAATACTGGAGTGGATTGCCAAGCCCTTCTCCAGGGAATCTTCCAGACCCAGAGTTCGTACTAGCGTCTCCTGCAGCTCCTGCATCGTAAGCAGATTCTTTACCCCTGAGCCACTGGGAAGCCATATGCATCACACATGCCCCAGGAGAAGCACAGAAACATTCAAATGAGGTCACTACAAGGATACACAGGGAAGTAGCCAACACTTCATGGTCTTCCTAAACAGGACTGGGCAATGGCCTTCAGCATGTAATTTTTCCCTCAGCCATGTATTACTTATTAAATACTTTAAATAAATAAGTAGATGTGTTAATATCTATATTCTGCATATAAATAGGCATTCTATGACATTTATATCTGTAATGTTTAAAGTAATCACTTATTAAGCTTCTACTTTGAATTGTCACTTCATAGGATACAAGAAGGACACAATACCACCTTAAACAAGATGATATGATTATGCAGGTTAAACACTCCAAGACTGGACAACTGCAGAAAACAAATAAGCTATATTTTTTCTCACAAATAAACAGCAAGTGGAAAGTGGAGGCAGATTTAATGACCTGCAATATTATAAAGACATAATACGTTAAAGACATATAACCCAAACACAAAATGAACGGAATTTACTAGGATCCTGATTTTGGAAAACAAAAAATAAAATATAAATAATACACAGATTTATTTCAAGGTTGAATAGATACTCCTTGATGTTAATAAACATCTAGTATTTAAGGATATATAAATGTTATATGGTTAGTAATTTTAGAGAGCAACTCATTTAAATTTAAATATTGAATTGTATTCTAAAATATAACAAGATATCTGGAAATTGCTTTCCAATATATTAGGGTTAATGAGGAATTGCATGGTAGCACAGAAGAAATAAGGCTGACCATGAGAAATTAATTTTTATAAAATCCAGCAATAGGTATACAGAGACCCATTTATATTGCAAATCTACATACCTACCTGTGGGAAATTTTTAGGGAAAGCAAAAAAGGTCGTGCTTAACTTCTGTAATTAATGACAAACACTAATAATTACAGTTATAGGAAAAGCAATAGGCTATTTTGATCTCCAGGATCTCTGGCTGGTGGGTGAAACACCAGGGCAGACGAGCCTCAGTACATTTCACACATGAGCATAACGTGGAGAACCTTTGTGTGAGTTGCTGACTAACTCCCAGCTCAGTTGGGTTGAGACTAGTCTTACTGTTCTCAGAGCTGTCAAAGCTGGAAGGCAGGAGAAATTTTCCCTGACTAAAGGAAACCAAAAATGCAATCTTCATATTTCATAACTTTTCTAATAAACCAGATGTGATCTCACTCTTTGTGAAGCCTGGCCCTTCCCAACCTGCAGGCTCACCTTCCAGGACTGAGCCCAGCCCAGTTTCTCCATATATAAGCTGCTGCCGGGAAGCTCCTCTTACAGACCTGCTCCTCTCAGCCCTCCACTCCACCCCTCGCTCCTGCCTCAGTCTCTTCTTCTTCAGGAACCATGTCTTACAAATCCACCGTGAAGACCCAAAGCAGCAGCCGCAGGGGCTTCAGTGCCGGCTCAGCCAGAGTCCCTGGGGTCTGCCGCTCTGGCTTCAGCAGCGTGTCCCTGTCCCGCTCCAGGGGCAGTGGCGGCCTCGCTGGAGTGTGTGGAGGAGCTGGCTTTGGCAGCCGCAGCCTCTATGGCCTGGGGGGCTCCAAGAGGATCTCCATCGCAGGGGGCAGCTGTGCCATCGGTGGCGGATATGGCGGCAGAATTGGAGTTGGCTATGGCTTTGGAGGTGGAGCCGGGAGTGGATTTGGTTTCGGTGCTGGGGCTGGTAGTGGCTTTGGGCTTGGTGGTGGAGCTGGCCTTGGAGGTGGCTTCGGTGGTGCTGGCTTCCCTGTGTGCCCCCCTGGAGGCATCCAAGAGGTGACCGTCAACCAGAGTCTCCTGACTCCCCTCAACCTGCAAATCGACCCCACCATCCAGCGGGTGAGGACTGAGGAGCGGGAGCAGATCAAGACCCTCAACAACAAGTTTGCCTCCTTCATCGACAAGGTGAGCTGAGAGCATCTGCCCCCAGTGGGGATTGCAGAGTGCCCAAGAGAGCCAACTAATGTCCTACCGGGGCGGGAAGACTATGGGAAGAGGGAGGTAGGACTCAGGCGAGCTCTCCACTGGGATGCAAGACAGGCTTCATGTGGACCCCAGGCAGAAGGTGATGGAAATCATTTACAATTAGCCATCCCTCACTTGACCCCATTCCTGCCAAGGAAACATTCACAGTTCTTGATAATCCTGAAGGAAAGAACAGAAAATGAGAGAGTGCAATGAGATGGCTTGATCTTCTGAATGGTCTAAGAAAGTTAAAAAGGTATCGCAGTGGAAACTTCCTTTGAGTCATCCACGATAGATGGATGCTGGAGGGAGGAAAGAAAGCAAAAAACAAAAGGGAATTTGAGGAAACACAACTCAAGTATATATCCTGTAGAACCAGAAAATGAGCATTAAGGGACTTTGTATCAGCCGGATTCATGTCCTATATGGGAAACAACATTAAATTCAATCATTAATAGAATTGGATTCTAATCACTAGATTATAAATATCTGATATCCCTTAACTGAGGAATGTGCTTTGTAAAAGCTCTGTGCAATACGAGAAAAATGCTATGATAAAGTACATTTGTACTTGTTCATGTCAAGAGGAAGTCAGGAAGGGTTGAAAGTCCCTGACAGTCTCCATAAGTGAAAGGGAGGGAACATCTCCAAGTCCCCTGGAGAAACTTGGCCATGAGACCTGTGTGGTATGAGGCTAAAGAATCAGGGGAGCAGAACTGTCAGCCCCTGTACAGGCTCTGGAGCAACCCAATACCACCGGGATCACCAGATCAGCCTGGGGACTTGTCAACTCACAGATAACCATCTTGTCTTCCTGCAGGTCCGATTCCTGGAGCAACAGAACAAGGTCCTGGACACCAAGTGGACCCTGCTGCAGGAGCAGGGCACCAGGACCGTGAGGCAGAACCTGGAGCCTTTGTTCGAGCAGTACATCAACAACCTCAGGAGGCAGCTGGATAGTATCCTTGGGGAGAGAGGCCGCCTGGACTCGGAGCTCAGGGGGATGCAGGACACGGTGGAGGACTTCAAGAACAAGTGAGTTACAGGAGAGAAAACACCTTAGATTCCTGAAGCCCACACTGCAGTCTATTAGATGACCAGGTCCAATGAGGGCTGATTCTTAGTAAAACATGTCAGTAGACATGACATTACAATTGTTACTAAACACAAACCCTGAAGAACAAAACGGGCCGTAAAAGTTGAATGGGAAGAGTAATGGAGTAAAGAAATTAGAAACCACAAATTACAACCTTTAGGCTTATTGACAGGTCTCATTTGTATATATCCATTCTGGGGAGCAGAGATCCCAGGCTGCCTTTTCCGTATCATCTTCACTGCTGACTCAATTAGATTTTATTCCTTTTAATTCCAGATATGAAGATGAAATCAACAAGCGCACAGCAGCAGAGAATGAGTTTGTGAAACTGAAGAAGGTAAGACGGGTCAGATCAGGGGTTCATGCTCCTTTCCTGAAGGAGAGGATTCTGAGAAAAGAATCATCAAGGAGACTAAAACAGGAGCAGGCTGGGCAGGAGGGCTCATCTGATCCCAGCCTGTTGGCTTCTTCCCCAGGATGTGGATATTGCCTACATGAACAAGGTTGAACTACAAGCCAAGGTAGACGCTCTCACAGATGAGATCAACTTCCTAAGAACCTTCTATGAGGCTGTAAGTATCTCTCCACATTCTGTTTTATTGCCTTTAAAGAGATTTGTGAAGAGTGGAATATCTTTGGTCTAGGTACCTCTCTAAAAATCAGGACCAAAGATGATCGGATGATCTCTTGTTCTGCAGGAACTGGCTCAGATGCAAACCCACATCTCAGACACTTCTGTGATCCTCTCCATGGACAACAACCGCAACCTGGACCTGGACAGCATCATCGCTGAAGTCAAAGCCCAGTATGAGGAGATCGCTCAGAGGAGCCGGGCTGAGGCTGAATCCTGGTACCAGTCCAAGGTGAGCGGTGAGGCGGCAGGTGATGAAGAATCCCTGTGCCTCCTCTGAGAACATCAATGTGGCTATAGACTTCAGTGGGGAAGCTACAACTAAGAAGTGGGGGACCTTCAGGGTAGAACTTTTAGGTAATGATGTCCAAGTTTCGTAGATCAAAGAACCCAGGTTAAGATGAAAGCTAGTGTAGATCAAGGTGAGTGACCTTCATTTTAGCTCTATCTTAATGCTGTTTCTCAGTAACAGTACAGAACATTGCTTTTCCTGAAGAGAACCAGTCAGTCAGTGGTCCTACCAAGGATGGTGTGTGATTGGTGAAGAATGTCAATGACATAGTAACACCAGTTTTCTTTAAATGTCTTAGGGAAAACCATTAGATTCAATTTTTAAAGCCTTGATTAGTGTCATATAAAGCCCATGGACACCACTTTGTCTCCCTCTGGTTTACAGTACGAAGAGCTGCGGGTGACAGCAGGCAGACACGGGGATGACCTGCGCAATACCAAGCAGGAGATCACTGAGATCAACCGCGTGATCCAGAGGCTGAGATCTGAGATCGACCATGTCAAGAAGCAGGTACAGTGGGGAGCATGGAAGAGAAAAGCATCCTTTCTTTCCTAGACTATCAGGTATCATCAAACATCATATGGGAAATTTTTGGGCACTGAGAGAAAAGCAGAGAGAGGAGGACCTGTTATGGTTGAGTTTCCCTAGGTTAGAGAGATGGATCCCAACTCAAGAGCCGGAAACAAACTCAGGATAGGATGAATCTCAACTGGTCAATGGTTCGTACACACAGTCTAGAGGCATTGAAATGAGATTCCTTAAGGAGAATGATTGAGTTGGGTATGCAAGACACAGGTTGGCAAAGAAAAGCTCAGTCTAGAAAGTGTGGGGAAGAATACTGCAAATATGCTCATACTCAATGTGAAAAAGAATCTGAGAAAAGACACAGGACAAATGAGGGTTGTTCAATAAAATCTGTGAAGTGAAAGGAAGGTGAGGTCTCAAGAGTCTGAGATAAAATCGTCTTTCAGTGAGAATGTTTGTGGTTTTGTATAAGTTATTGTACATCCATGTGAACTTATCCAAAGTGTCAACATTGAAAACTAGACAGTAGGTCCATTTCTTCCCATGTCCCCTGGTCTTCAGTCTGTTCTGGTATCTTTCAGCCCCATCACCATTAGGGTGGTTAACGGAGAAGGGAATAGATTTTCTTAAAGGATTCCAAGACTAGTTAAGTTTTGTAGAATGGAGAAAGACTGGACAAAATGAATCAAACGTCCTTTTCCATGAGATCTGGGCTCTAGGGCTCTTCCTCACTGGGAAAGTAGAACGATGCTTCCTCTCCCCTGGAGCCCAGACTCAGGTTCATCTGCCCCTCCTCCCCTCCAGTGCACCAGCCTGCAATCCGCCATCGCCGACGCTGAGCAGCGCGGGGAGCTGGCCCTCAAGGACGCCAGGGGCAAGCTGACTGACCTGGAGGACGCCCTGCAGAAGGCCAAGCAGGACATGGCCCGGCTGCTGAAGGAGTACCAGGAGCTCATGAATGTCAAGCTGGCCCTGGACGTGGAGATTGCCACCTATAGGAAGCTGCTGGAGGGCGAGGAGTGCAGGTGAGCAACTCACACAACCTCCTCAATCATCTGGCTCCATCTCCAAGGAGTCCTGCCAATGCGCCCACGTGGAAGGCACTCTAGTGCTGGTCACAGTGCCACTCCCAGAAGAGCCCTGAGAAGGCAGGCTCCTGGGGAGTCTCCTCTCACGGAGGTTTCCCGTGCGGGCCCAGCTGTGGCTCTGGACCTCATCATGGCTGTGTCTTCTCTCTCCTAGGCTGAGTGGGGAAGGCGTTGGACAAGTCAACATCTGTAAGTACTTCACCTGCCCCCGGCCCTTGCCCTTGCGTCCCCCTGACTGGACTCTGTGTGGCAGAGTGAGCTCCCCATCTTGTCCTGACCTCGCCCCCTTGCCTCCACAGCCGTGGTGCAGTCCACCGTCTCTGGTGGCTATGGCGGTGCCAGCGGTCTCGGCGGTGGCTTAGGCGTGGGCGGAGGAAGTGGCTACTCCTACAGCGGTGGCCACAGCCTTGGAGGTGGCTTCAGTGCTGGCAGTGGCAGAGCCATCGGGTGTGGCTTCGGCTCCTCTGGGGGCAGCAGTTCCACCATCAAATACACCACCACCTCCTCCTCCTCCAGCAGGAAGAGCTACAAGCACTGAAGTCCTGTCATGGGCTCAAGCTCCCACAATGTCTCAGGCTCCCTCTGTTTTGCTCTCTCCTTTGCTCTCTCCTCCAGTTGCTTTCTCTTTCCTGCTTCCTTTTCTTACTTCTTGAATTAGAACTGAAGTTGCTGAGTGTCCTCATCTCCTCTCTCCCAAAACCTATTGCAAGTGAGCTTCCGTTGTTCACCACTGGAAGGTCGCTACTTGGGTCCTAGTCCAGACAGGGCAATCCCAGTTACTTTCCACTGGGCCAGGAGATCCAATCTCAGAGATGTTGTGTTCCTCCCTTGCAATGATTGTGAAAGCACAAGTGACTAGTTCTATGATGTACAGGGTTTGTATCCCTGTGTTGCTTCCTCTGCTCTTTGCTCACTTGTATTGCTAAATAAAGCAGATTTATCATACAATGTGTGGTTTCACATAGCCTTTCTTTGTCACCAATGGTTCTTGAGGTTTTCATGTGACAAATGAAGCATTCTTCTCAGACATGAAGCACACTCCCCACGCCCATGTGCCTCACTCCCTTCCTGTAGAGAACTTCAACAAACAGCAGCTTGGGATACTGATAATCAGCTTTCTCTCACAGATACAATTGAATCCAAATGTTTGGCAAGTGTCATGGGAGGACTCTGGTCCAGCATCATGTATACTCTGCTTTTTATTGTTGGGGCCAAGTGTAATCAATTAGTTTCTCTTCCTAAGGCCATTCAACCCACACTCAAGGGGTCAAGTCTTAATGTTCATTAGAGCAATCATGTTTCTGGCCCATCAGAGCAGAACAACATTTAGCAATTAAACAGGATATTTGATTTTTACTTAGAGTTAACTTCCTGACCAACAAACTTGCCTGAGAAAGTATATCAAGGATAATTAAAGTATATATACTTCTGAACTGAAACTCTATTTCTGTATATGTATCCTGAAGAAATAGTACAAACACAATACATGGATGTGAATTCCAACCATCTTCCCAGCATGGAAAAACTGAAAGTGGGAGAGTTGATCAAATTCAGCAGAAAACTCAGATGCTGGTTTCTTAAAGTGTGAAGGCAAAATAAGAATGGTTATTTCCACCTTCTCACACCCTAACTCTCTAGGAGATGGGTGAACCTGAGTCTTTCATCTCTCTGGTGTGCCCTGGCTGCTATGACTTCTCTAAATGGGGATAATTTAAACTCAGTATATGGTGCAAGGCTCCTCATTCACTGGTGCTGCCTTTTGGCCATACCAGTCCCTATTTCCTCATGGGTGACCATTATCTCCTTTGCCCCCAGGCTCTTACATCACGAGAGAAAGTTTCCTGGTTTCATAGCATGGACAGGGTGCCTCTGGATCCTCTTATCAGTATACTGCTGTGTTCTCCTATAACCATTCCCCCAGAGAAGTGGGCAGCCTCTCATATTGGTACCTCCTCACTCTCCCCAAAACTTCCCCAACAGCAGGTATGTGATGACTGGGCTCCAAAATCTATGCCCAGTTAGTGTCAGTATTATTATGTACCTATGAGGAGTAATGGAAAGAAATTACTGATTAGGAAAAATACATAGAATACAACAATGAATAATAAACAGATTGCAAAATAATATGTAGACATGGATTTATCTAATTAAAATCTTAAGGTGCGGATGTTGATAGCAAAAGAGCAGACTGGAAAGCGCCAAACTCTCCTTTTGCTAAAGAAACATTGAGAAAACAACCAGAAGCTGTCTGAACATTGTAGGAGATCTGGAAAACACTCAAAATTTGCAATAGTCAAGCAAATGCGCTGTCAAGAAAATCCATCTTCCATATTACAGCAAAATTTCATGATAATGTTCCTAGCACTTTCCCTCTCCTATATGTGGTGCAGTTGTGGTCTTGAGCAGACAGCAACTTTGTTCGTGAACTTTTTTCCCAATCCCCCTCCCACACTCCAGTCTCCCCTCAAACCCATTTGTTCCTCTTGGTCACCCTCCACCCCCAGCACATGCATCTTGAATCAAAGATGCAGATGCAGACTATTTGCAAATTATCATGTAAGCCTCTTCAAACACATCTGGGGGGGCATTCCTGAAGAAATGTTGCAAGGTTCTCACCTTTGTTTCACATAAATTCAGATGCAGGCAAGAGAAGTAGCAGGGACACTCAGTAAAAACTACAGGGCAGACTACAAACTCACAGAGACCTGGGGCAAAAGACTATGGGAGAAGATACACAATAGACCCTCTGATCATCCAAGGTCCAGAGGCTAAGCTACAGAGAGACCCTTTGGGAAATGAGGACATTCAAAGGCAGCTGTGTATAGGAGAACATTTAGAAAACTGTGCCTAGGTCCAAGCAAAACACATGTTCAGAAATGCCTTGAGAAGTCTTTAGCATGCACCTGGGACAGCTCTCTAGGTTCAGAGCAAGCCCTGTTGTGTGGTAAAGGAGTGTCCCATCATAGGGAGAGGTGGTTGTTCTCAGTTTGCTGTTTTGGCTTTTTTATTTTTTGTTGTTGTTTTTCAGCTCCTGGTATACAAAAAAAATCTTCATTAAGACCAGCAGCTGAGTGCACGCTATAGGAACAGCCTGATGTTTAGGTGTTCAGCATGCCAGGCTTGGCCGACTCATTTAACACTACTCGTCAGCGTGAAGCATAGGTCCTCAGGCGCAAACCCAAGAATCTCTTGTTTGCAAAAGTCACGGGCTGCATGACCTGAGGCAGGACCCTGTTAGTCATGAACTTTCTAGAAACTGAGAAGTATAATTGGATGACAAATCAGAGACATTTGATTGCTCCTATCGGCAGCATTTTGTTAAACAAGAGGGAAAAAAAGCAGAGACTGTGAACTGTAAGTTATTCTGCAGTGATTCACTGGGCAAGGTTTTTAAGGAATAATAGAATTATTCACATAGCCTGTTAGCCTGAATATGCCCCCAGCTCACTCCCCAGAATACTTCCTGCCAACAACTCATCTAGAAGGAGTTCACCTCTTTCAAACATGAGCACTAGTCAGATGGAAACCATTCCAGGACCAACAAAAGAGATACACATTAAGAAATGAAATGAATAGGAAAATCAAAAGGCAGACAATAAGCACTCATCAGAACAAAGTCATCATAAAATATTGCCAAAACAAAATAAATCCTCCATAAAATTCAAGAAAAAAAAGCATATAATGAGAGAGTAAGATATAAAACATTATTTAGAGAAGTCAGATATGAGGCAGAGAGAAAAATAAAACTAGCAAGCAGATGAAGGCCAAGCTGATGTCAGTACAAAGGGCAAGACACATGCTGAATGAACAGCAAAGAGCATATGGGAGAATATTGAGAAAAGAGAATCAGGGGTCTTAATGGGAGTTAACAAGAGGTTAAAGAAAGGTCAAGAGGATATAGGATAGACAAAGAATACAAAGGAGATTCAACGCAAGCATAATTTGAACACCTAACGGAAAAGAGTGTACACACACATATGCAACCTCATACACACAAATGGTCCCTCCCAAAGCACAGAAACATCTTCCATTAGGTGGTTGGGGATTTGCACTGAGATTCATTTTGACAAATAAATATAGGCAAATGTGCGTAATTTAGTCATTTTAAATTATGCAAAACCTAGACAGCATATTAAAAAGCAAAGACATCATTTTGCCAACAAAGATCCATCTAGTCAAATGGTTTTTCCAGTAGTCATGTACAGATGTGAGAGTTGGACCATAAGGAAAGTTGAGCACCAAAGAACTGATGTTTTCGAATTGTGGTGTTGGAGAAGACTCCTTAGAGTCCCTTGGACTGCAAGGAGATCAAACCAGTAAATCCTAAAGGAAATCAATCCTGAATATTCATTGAAAGGACTGATGCTGAAGTTGAAACTCCAATATTTTGACTAGATGATGCAAAAAGCCAGCTCATTGGAAAAGACCCTGATGCTGGGGAAGATTGAAGGCAGGAGAAGGGGAAGACAGAGGATGAGATGGTTGGATGGTGTCACTGACTCAATGGACATGAGTTTGAGCAAACTTTGGGTGAGAGTGAAGGACAGGGAAGCCTGGCGTGCTGCAGTCCATGGAGTTGCAAAGAGTTGGACACGATTAGTAACTAAACAACAACAACAAATATCATATATGGGAATAAAGAATGAAGTCTTGCAGCTTGTGACAACATGGATGGATCTCTAGGGTTTTACATTAAGTGACATAAGTCAGACAGAGAAAGACAAGTACTGCAAATCTCTCATACGTGAAATCCAAAAAGCAAATGCATTTTCAAAAATTTAAAAACTATACTCATAGATGCAGAGACCAGACTGGTGGTTACCAGAGGTGGGGAGAGGCGGGAGAAGTGAGAGAAAAGGGTTAAATGTTTTTGCAGGTTTTAAGTTTAAATAAATTAAATTTTAAAAACCTCCACAGAGATACAATCATATATTCTTAGAACGTGATAGCTAACATCACAATAATTGAGGATACCAAGGCAACAATATGGAGCAACTGAAACACTCATACACTGCTGTGGAAACACAAAATGATGCAAGCATTCTGCAAATATATATACATATATATTTATACATTTGCCTATACCTATATATCTATATAGGGCTTTCTTGGTGGCTCAGGTGGTAAAGAATCTGCCTGCAATGCAGGAGACCTGGGTTCATATGGAATGATATCAGAGAAGGCAATCACAAAAGCCAAAGAGTGGAAAACTCTATAGATAAGTTGTTGTTGTTGCTTGGTCACTAAGTTATTTCTGACTCTTTGCAACCCCATGGACTAAAGCACGCCAGGCTTCCCTGTCCTTCACTCTCTTCTAGAGTTTTCTCAGTCATGTCCATTGACTTGGTGATGCTATCTAATCACTTCATCATCTGTTGCACTCTTCTCCTTTTGCCTTCAATCTTTCCCAGCATCAGGGTCTTTTCTAATGAGTTGGCTCCTCACACCAGGTGGCCAAAATATTGGAGTTTCAGCTTCAGCATCAGTCCTTCCAATAAATATTCAGGATTGATTTCCTTTAGGATTGACTGATTTGAT